CCAGCATCCCCCTCCCCTCTGCTAGGAAAAACCACCTTGATCAAGGCTCTGACCGGCGACGTGGCTGCACAGCCCCGGGACCAGCTGTTTGCCACGCTGGACGTCACGACCCACGCGGGCACGCTGCCCTCCTCCCTGACGGTCCTCTATGTGGACACCATCGGCTTCCTCTCCCAGCTGCCTCACGACCTGATCGAGTCCTTCTCGGCTACACTGGAGGACGTGGCCCACTCGGTGAGCACAGGGCGGGACGGGCTGGGATGAGGTTCCCTCAGAGGTCAACACACCCTGGGTGCTGGGGTCCCTAGGACACAGTAGACCTGGGGCTGAGTTTTCGACCGGGACTCCTTAGACATACCGTGAACCCTCCCATTCTGTTCCTTCCACCTCCATACAGTGATCCCCGTGAATCACGATGAGAGGGACATGGTGTTTCCTGGTGTGGCTGCTGGGTCGGGGTGATCCTTAAAACCCCAACTCAGAGTCTGCCCCTGGGGTAGAAGCCTGGTCATAATTGATTGCTGATTCCTCTCAGTCCAGGAGATGAAAATGGTCCCTCGTGGGAGGCCACAAAACATCTTCCCTGTAGACTCAGGAAAGTGCAGCCTTTTCCTGCCAGCCAGGCAGTTCTCTCGAAAGAAGTTCCCTTCCTCGAGATAAGCAAGGAAATGTCCCCACGTGGGAGAAGGGCTAAATGGCAGGCGTCCCCTTGCCCTCCTTTGTCCTCAGACCCAGCCTCAGTGTGCCACCTCACTGCTGCTGCCCCGCCCTGTGCACCCAGGAGCCCACCCCAGGCCTGTGTCCTGCCACCGTGTGCACCTGGAGAAATGTCAAGCCATACATCAGGTCTTCCCCGGCTCTCATGGCTGGACACGGCCTGCTCTTAGGTGTGATCGCTTCACACCAGAGAATCTGTAAGAAACAGAGCAATGATTTGTCTAGTCAGAAGTGTGGACAAAGATGCACATACCAAAGTGATCTCTGCGACTCTTTAAGAGTCAGTGCCTGGAAACAACCTGCATCTGTCTCCTGTTACAAAGTACCACAGGCTGGGGAATTAAACCCACAGAAATGTGTCCTATCCCCGTCCTGGAGGCAGAAGTCTGAGATCCAGGTATGGTGGGGCTGTGCTCCCTGCAGAGGCTCCAGGGGAGGATCCTTCCTGCCTCTTCCAGCTCCTGGTGGCTCCAGGTGTCCCCCGGCTTGTGGACGCATCACTCCAGTCTCTGCCTCCGTCTTCATGTGGCTTCTCCTCTGTGTC